CCCCCGCCTACCCCCCCCCCAAAACAAAAAAAAAAAAAAAAAAAAAAAAAATCTGATTTATCAAACTGTAAACTTGTCACTGTGTTAAAACGTCACATTTCAGTGGCAGTCAGGGAAATATAATGACCCGTTTTAATGTAGCGATGTCAGGGTGCTGTATCCTAGATGGAACACACATCAAGGCACTGCACAGACACAGACTGACACACACTTAATGCAACATGGATGTGTGTGAGTGTGTATTGCCCTATAACGGGTAGACACAGTGGATCATGCTCACGCTGACTGGCACTGCACGACAACTGAAATTACCAATCACTATTATGCCAGAGAAAAGGCAGAACACTTGAGGCCTTCACACCCACGTGTGTGCTGTATATACACACTTTCAATCTCCCTTCATGAAGAGGTGATTAGGGCACATTTCAGTCTCTTTGTTTTTTTTTTACATCTTTTCTTTTGGCTGTAACAATTTTAAAGCAAAAGGAAGGATTACATGCTACAAAATAAAAGTCTTGGGCAGGATTCGAGCCTGGTTAAATGGTGCGGGGATTAGTCGGCTGAATAATTAGACTGACACAGAAATCAGTCTTGGTCCAACTAGTCATTTAAAGCAATAACGCACTGCAGCTTAAGCAACCTGATCATTATGTTCTGTGCTTTGCAATCATCTTAGTTACACTATATTATGACACCCACTCAGTAATTACATTAGTGTTTGTTTACACTGGCCTTGAGGAACATGTACATCCATGCATCCTCAATCCACACACACACACACACACCCTTTTTCTTGTTTCTGTCATTTAGCGGCCCCTACAAAGATTTACATTAACATCTCGTAGGCTTACCCTAAACTAACCTTAATCAAAGCCAAACGTTGCCCTAATGTTACACCCTGTGATTTTTGGCCCCACAGACAAAGTGTTCTCCTGGTTTCAGACCCACAAGTACAGAAAAGCGCACACACATACATGCCAGCTCGTGCTCACCTCAGAAAATGGTCTGTGACCAGTGGTGTGCACCACACCTACAAGGTTTATTAGGAAATATCACCGCAGTTTCCTGCCATGCGTGATTCTGCACGAAATCAGCCTATCAGGGCCAAAATTGTTCATTATTTTTTCATTATCAGGTAATCTGCAGATCAATTCATCAACTAGGTAATTATGCATTTTGTTTATAAAATCTCACAAAATAGTTCATTTCTCTTGACCCAAGTTTATGTCCACAAGTGTCGTGTTTGACAGACCGACAGTCCAAAAGCTAAAGATATTCAATTTACTGTCATCCATGACAAAGAAATGCAGCGAATTCTCGCATCTGAGAAGGTTGAAAGGTTCCAATTTTTTGTTTAAAAATGGCTAAAACCACCAATTCATGATTAAAATGGTTAATAGTTAAAGATTTTTGATTTTGTTGATCCACTAATCATTGCAGCTCTTCTCCTTTTAGCCCAAAAAACAAAGAAATAAATAAACCAGCTTGTGTGTGCTAAATGGATGCTAACAGGCTAATTAATATCAAATCATCAACAGTATAATGTAATGTGAAAGGCTCCTCAAAGTCAGCTCGCAAGTAGGCAAACAAGTACACACACGGTGCATGTTTTTGCTTCCCAACAAACTCTATTTTTCACTCTAATTCGCACATGCACACCCGCTCCGTCTGTGTGTAATTCATTAGTAAACAATAAAAAGACATTAATTGTGCTCCCCAGAGGCAGATCTGTGTTCCTCCCACTGGGAGAGAGGCACCCGCTGCATCTGAAGTGGCTTCACCCCTCAGTTAGAACTGTGCTTTCCCGACACACACAAATAAACATGAGACACCAGAAGGACTGTGTGTGTGTTTAAAGGGAGTAAGTTGGGAGTGCGTTTTGAAAATGAACGGGGCTTTTACACTGTGAGGAAAGGGGGGGAAACAGGCACAGGGGAACAAAAGACAAGACAGAAAGTTGCTTTTGTTTTCTTCAGAGGTTAAAAAATATAGCAGACAAAATCAGGGAGAGTGTAAAGAAGGTGAGGAAGGAGGAAATTAAAGAAGAATACAGACATAGGGGGTCGAGGCACATTCAAAAGTTTTACCTGTGAGGAATTCAGTGTTGCACTTGGTTGTACACATAAAAAAGTGACAAACAGTCTTGTTTGAATAAAAAAAGAGCCTGATAAAGAAGCTCAAATACTTTCCTGTCTCACACACCTGGCCGGTTGCTGCCACCATGTGACAAGCATTTCTGCTGGAGCAGACCAAAGCCTTATGTGTTGCCCCCTGTTGGGATGTTTAGCAACTAGTATTTCAGTTTGATGGGCCAAGGCTGAACCACCTGATAAGAGAAGGAGACCACTCTGAGAACTTGTATATGTATTCATAAAATCCAGTCATGCGTGTGCAGTGCAGGTTTTACTATCAACACCGGCAATGCACTTTTTCTCTCTCTCGAGGTGTATAGGGACACCCTCTTATCAGCATCCTCCTTTGCAGTCGTTGTCATAATACAATCCGCTATTATTGGGCTATTATCGCCTGCATCGACACCCACACCCGCTTGACTCCGGCCAACTCTTGCCCTGAATGTGACAGGAAATCCGGCAGGCTCACAGTTGGCCTCCAGTTCGGTCGCTTACCTCATCACAGCGACGACAGACACACTCAAACACGCTTTGCTGACACAAAGCGCCTAGCGTCTGTCCCATTAGTTAAAATTAAACCTATCCCATTAGAAAAACAAACAAGCTTCACTCTGCTTGGTAAAAACAATGCGTATAATGAGGTACTGCATGCAGGAAATTTCATCTATTTGTAGTCACGCTCTGGTCAAAAGGACTTATTATTATTATAACTGGACCAGACAAAGCAAAGTGTGGTGGGTGAGCAGATGTGTAAATGCCTGTTAGAGCAGACACAGGAAGGCTGAACAAGGGTCAAATGGACCCATCTCCCGAGACTGTGGTCAGATGGTCAGACTGCTGTCTCACTACATCTATCAGACCGCACAACAAGAGGTAATTCATGACTAAGCAGGAACAGAAAGGAGAAAAACTGAAAAGAATAAAATTCAAAAGCCACTGTGTAAATCTTTAGAGAGGTTCAAGAGAAACGAACAGTGAAACAAACACACCTTCCTGCTTCAGCTCACCGTTACTTTGAGTCACACACTCCTGATGTCATCTGTCTGTCCATTCATTCAATCTATGAACAAAGTAGAAACTAAAACTAAAAATAAATGACCGTGTCATTTTAAACATTCATCTCCTACATATTTTTGACACATTTAGCCACATATCACTGAGGATTATTTGTTTTCGAGACAATGCAAAGCACATGCCAGCTACACAAAAGAGTCATGCCTGCAGAAATTTGCAAATACATGTTTTAAACATCTTTAAGGTATAGTAATTATCCCATCCTTTATGAAACAAGTATTTGAATACCCATAGTAATAAACTAATAAAACATCCTGGCTTCTGACGTTATCCCCCCTTTCCTCCTTCCCATATCCTAGTAAAAAAAATAAAGAATCTGAATGAATAACTAAGCAGACACAGTGGTGAAGAGTGGGTTTGACCAAACTCACCTGACTGTTACAAATGTCTTAAAAAAACAAACGCAGTGAAAAAAAAAGAGTCATTAATAACATCAGTCCATCTACTGTAACATAAATCTTAATTGCACTGCTGTAATCATTAATACCTGCCAATGAACAGTTTCAATACACACACACGATGGCCTCTTCATGCTGGAGTTGATAGGCTCAATATTCATCTCATTATATTTTTAAAGTCTTCATCTGTTTCCATTTTCTTTCATTTGTTGCATTTCACTGGGGCTTCCTCTGTATCTCCTCTTCTTCCTCTCCCCCCTCCCCAAACAAATACACAGATATATCCCATGCCCAAAAGAGGACAGGGGAAAACAGAGCCCCTGGAAAATGCAATATTTCTGTTTTTAATATCGAGGTCTATA